GCTCATTCCACACAAGCATCACTCTCTGCATGAAAAGTTGCCTCTTAGGACCTTATAAATCTTGCCCGTCTCTCCTTAAACCTATGCCTTCTAGTTTTGGATTCCCCTAACCTGGGAAAAAGACCTCGGTTATTCACCATGTCATTTATGCTTCTATATACCTCTATAAGGTCACCCCTCAGCCTCCGCCGCTCCAAGGAAAATAGCCCCAGTCTATTCAGCCTCTCCCTATAGCTCAAACCCTCCAACCAGGCAATATCCTTCTAAATTTTTTCTGAACCCTTTCAAGTTTAACAACACCTTTCTTTTTGCTGGGAGAGCAGAATTGAATGCAGTATTTCAAAAGTGGCCTAACTTGTCCTGTAGAACTGCAACATGACACCCCAACTCCTGTACTCAATGCACTGACCAATAAAAGCAAGCATACCAAACACCAGCTTCACTACCCTGCCTGCCTATGACTCAATCTTCAAGGAATATGAACCTGCACTCCAAGGTCTTTTTGTTCAGCAACACTCCCCAGGACTCTACTATTAAGTGTATAAGTACCGCTCTGATGTGCCTTACCAAAATCCAACACCTCACACTTGCTTAAACGCTATCTGCCACTCCTTGGGCCATTGGCTCATCTGATCAAGGTCCCGTTGTTCTCTGAGATAATTTGCTTCACTGTCCACTACACCAGCAATTTTGGTGTCACATGCAAACTTACTAACCATACCCCTTATATGGTAGCCCCAGTAAATCCCTAGACTCCTGCATCATAATGATTTTTGCTGTCCCTTTATTTGGAAGATTATGGTAGCTGAATTTTAATTAGCCTAATCAACTCAGGAGGTCAGGATGATCATTTTGATGCATCACAGTTCACATCAGAAAGCTCCAGGCAGCCTCCACAAAAAAAACCTGCCTCATTCTGAGACACACACTTGTCCATTTACAGTGGAAGTAAGAGACTAGTTTCACTTGTCAAACCCAAGTTCAATATGAACCCAGAAATGAAAGCACACAGTGTACTTGCACTCTATTTAGCCCTAGATTAATGTTTATTTTTTGCTCATTGCTGAATTTAGCTATGTTCTTCATTACCTTTTAATCCTATGCCATCAGTATCTTTATCCTCTAATTCCTTATCAAGAGATGCAACATCACTAAAATGAAGATCTAAAGCAGAACCTGGAGTAGAAAAGGAAACTTCATTATTCAGTCAAAGCAAAATCATATGAACAGCTTGAACATATTCTGTACTTCTATTATGGGCAGTTCATGTGCTGAGCTATCAACCTTATGAACCTATTATCAACCTATGAGGAAAGGGAAGCAATTATTGACATTAATAAAAGTCTTTTTGGTGTTGTCTCAGAAGCTGTTTGCTAGTTTCATTGCTAGAACAATGCAAGACAGACAAGCTCAGGAAATGTAGATCAGTCCTGATGAAGGGTCCAGACCTAAAATGTCGACTTTCCTGCTCCCCTGATGCTGTCTGACCTGCTGTGCTCCTCCAGCTCCACATTTTATCAACTTTGACTTCCAGCATCCGCAGTCCTTACTATCTCCAGGAAATGTAGATCTTCCAGTTCTAAAGAATCACCAGAATGGAAATTTTAGCTCTGCTTTCTTCCCACAGTTGATGCCAGACCTGCTGAGTTTCTCTAGCAATATATTTTTGTTGTAGACCTTCCAATACTAGGTGAAACCTCAAAAAAAAACTGTTCACCTCTTTTACCATATGAATGACTACACGTTTTGAAAAATAGGTCAAGAATAACAACATTTTAGCAGCAAATTGTTGAATTTGGAGGGTTCCATTGCAGTTAAGTAAATTGTTACTCAGGAAAAGTCAGACTATTAAAAACCTAGTCTAATTCCTGAGTAACCTTTTGACTGGGTCCAATGTACCTTATATGTCCTCAACTACACCTCCACCAGACCCCTTAAATCCCCTGACCTGAACAAACACCCTCTCTCCATATGGGACCCTCCCCACCCCCAAGGAACTGATACATCCCTTCTAGCCCAGGAACCAAGACCTCCCTATTCCACCTCTGGACCTGATACCCCTATCTGTCCCCAGGACTTAATACCCACTCTCCTCTTGGGACTTGACACAACCCCAGCACCAGAACTGACATCCTGCCACCCCAGGACCTAACATTCACCTCCCCTCGACTCCCCAAGCCACTACATCTGTCACCCTCCTCAACCATTGGGACCCGTGTGCTCCCTTACCCCCACTAGACCCAATATACCATGACTTAACTCTAAACACCTCACCATTTTCTTGACAGTGTAACCTCACTTACCCTGTGTACTTACCCTTACACAGGAGCTATCAAAGTGGCTGTCTTTGATGCTGGACCTTTAAAGAATACGGCACTGTGGAATGAAGTTGGCTGTGACAAAGGGAATGTGATTGACTTCCTCCAGGCTGATCTGTGTGATGAGTGACCTGTCAGAATGGCTCCACATTTCTGAAAGAGCATTTATCGGAATCTCCTATCAGAAATGCGGAGCGCTTTTGTTAGGGAAATAAGAAATGGAATGACAATCTGCCTGTGATTATCACTCCTGGGAAAATCCAGCCCAAGGTTTCTAGTATAAATTTACTAGGTGTAAAAGTATTGGATGGGGTGGCGTGGAAGAAAGGCCATTTTACTGTTGGTCAATAATCATTCAATAAGGTGTCTATTCAATTCTCAATTTATATGGAAGATGTGCACTTGTGTGAATGCGTTGGGTGAACTATGGGAGGAATGCGAAGGCAAGGCACCTGGAAGGAAAACTAGCGCTGGCAACAGTAATTTGAGTTCAGATCAGAATGATGACATTAAATCTGTCTCTCTTCACTGCAGAAAGAATCCAAAAATAAATGAATCTAGCGCAGCCAGAAACCAGAAGTAATTAGGCACCTGGTGAAAGCATAAATAGCTCACAATTCAACAGTAATTTGTCAATACCACAAGAATCATGGTTACATTGAATGGAAATATCATGGTGATTCTGTAGATGGTGCCCTTTTCAAGTCTGTGTTAATGCCAAAGTATTACCTATGACCTTGAAATGCTTGATATGACCCATTTCTGACCTTGGAGTGTACCATCTTATTTTTGATATTTTGTAATTGTCAGATCACAGGTCATCCCTTTATTTGCTATTCAGCTGCTGACAATTTATTCATGCTGTTTGACACTTTTGATCACCTGCAAAGACTTCCAGACAAACGCAAGGTGATGCATTTTGGAGGGTCAATTTTAGATGTGAATTATACTGTTAATGGCAGAACCCTTAAGAATGTTAACAAACAGATGAATCTGGGAATGCAGGTCCACAGTTCCCTAAAAGTGGCAACACAGGAGGCCAAAGTGATTAAGAAGGCATATGGCACGCTTGCCTTCATCGGCCGGGGCATGGAGTACAAGAGTTGGCAAAACATGTTGCAGCAATATAAAACCCTTGTTAGGCCGCATTTGGAGTATTGTGTGCAGTTTTGGTCACCATGGTATCAGAAGGATGTGGAAGCTTTGGATAGAGTACAGAGAAGGTTCACCAGGATGCTGCACAATCTCAAGGGCATTGGCTTTGAGGAAAGGTTAAAAAGCCTAGAATTGTTTTCACTGGAAAGACGGCGATTGAGAGGAGACCTGATAAAGGTCTACAAAATTATGAGGGGCAAAGATAGGATGGATAGTCAGAGGCTTTTTCCCAGGGTTGAAGTTTCAATTACAAGGGGGCACAGGTTCAAGGTGAGAGGGCAAATTTTAAGGGAAATGTGCGAGAAAGTTTTTCACGCAGAGAGTGGTAGGAACCTGGAATGCACTGCCAGATGAGGTGGTGGAAGGAGGCACGTTGGCAACATTTAAGAGGTGTCTGGATGGTTACATGAATAGGGACGGAATAGAGGGATACGGACCAAATAAAGGTAGAAGGTTTGTTTTTTAGTTTATTTGGGGCATGATGATCAGCACAGACTTGGATGGCCAAAACCCTGTTCCTGTAACACACTTCTCTTTTGTTCTTTTGTTATTCACCCTGTCGACACTCCACTCACACCATTTGTACTATCTTTTCACACTCTTAATTACCTGGAATTATCTTGCAATGAACTCTCCGTCTATAAATTCCGTGCCTGTGCGCTTCCCTCCACTTCACCTGACAAAGGAGCAGCGTTCCAAAAGCTTGTGATTTCAAATAAACCAGTTGGACTATAACCTGGTGTCGTGTGATTTCTGACTTTGGAGAAATACTGACAGTGAGAACCTATGAGATTTTAATTCACATACCTGGAGTTAGAATTGGCCCCGAAGTGCTCAACCTGACAATTTCAAACTAACATAGTTTAAAAACAGTCATATTAATGTATATGAGCAAAACATGTGATTAACCAGAGTTTAACCCAAATAGAAAATTCTTATGTCAAGGATGTTTAATACATTCAAATGTTAACAAAGGATTTGATTTCTACGTAGTGATTTAAACGGTCAATCTGTTCCATTCAAAGACAGAGGAGTTTTGCACATTGGAAATTCTTTACCAAGAATTGTCTCATCACTATAATTTATGATGGAAATATAGAATCCCTACAGTGTAGAAAGTGGCCATTCAGCCAATTGAATCTGCACTAACCCTCCAAAAAACATCCCATGCAGACCCAGCACTTCCTGTAGCTAATCCACCTAAGCTGCACATCCCTGGACACCATGGGGCAATTTATCATGGCCAATCCACCTAACCTGCACATCTTTGGACTGTGGGAAGAAACCAGAGCACACCAAAGCAAACATGGGGAGAATGTGCAAAGTCCACAGTCACCCAAGGCTGGACTCGAACCCAGGTCCCTGGCACTGTGTGGTAGCAGTGCTAACCACTGAGCCACCATGCTATCCTTAGAATAAATTCCATGATTGTGTTGTTTTAAATACATTGTTAGTGGGTAGAATATTGAGATACTTGTGCTACAGCTATTGTGTTTCTACATTATAACTTCTCCCTCTTTTGCCTAGATTTGATCCTTGGAGATGAAAACTCTTCTGGTATAGGCCCCACCCCTGTATCCAGTGGTAATAAAGATGGAAACTGCAGTTCAGATAAGGTCTGGAACACCATTCATCCTGACACTGAAGGAGGAGGACAAAACGCATCTTTCAACCCTCACTTCCTAATTGTCCCTCCATTATTTGTGCTCCTCCACACAGACTGGAACACTGCATTGGCTGAATGGGGATTGGCATGGGACCTCCATGTTTATGGATTGGGGTCACTCTTTGGCCTGGTAACAGTCATCTCTGCAATTGGTATCCTCTGTCTTCCCTTCAGATCTCCACTAGGCCTTGGTTATTTCATGGTTCTCAATGGATTGCTATTCTTGACAAGCTCAATAAGAACTTTTATCTTCCTTTACGATGCCTACTGTTATCAGCACAAATTACCTACAATTGTTGCCTTACTTCTCTATGATTTGGTCTTCCCTTGCCTTACTTCTGCTTTTGGAGTCATAATCCTCGTCCTGTCGTTGAGGTCTGGGCCACAAGCAGGGACATCAAGATTCCAGCGTTCATGCTTCCTAACCACAATTATCTTTCTCCACTTCATACTCACTATAGGCACAATCTTGGTCATTACTCTGCTAAAGCAAGCTCCCTTCCTCCTCTTTGTGTCACATGGGATCTTTGTAGTTTTGGTAACCATTTTGTCTATCCTGTATTTCACATTTTACTGTCACGCACGTATGGTTGGCATGCAGGTCTACAGCATGAAGACTTCAACACCATGCCTGGAGACTTTGAACACTGGGCCCTTCAGAGAAACAGAGCACTGGGGAAGAGTAGCCAAACTGGCCATGTGGACTGCAGTGTTCAGCTTGAGCTGTGCTGCATTACAGTTATATGCTATTCTATACCGACTAGGATTGGCTGGAGATCATGTTTTCCAGCCATGGCCTTGGTGGATTTTCCATTTTGGTACCAGCTTATGTGAAGTAGGGATGTGCCTCACCATGTCCCTTATTGGAATCTATCCGTTGTTTTGTACCCCTAAAACATCAGACCGTAACCATTGGAACAAAATGTTCTGCCTTTCTCCAACTCATGTATCCATGAAAGCTCCCATCCTTTCAAACACTAATCAATGGTCAACTCCCCACCAGGTGAAGACATTGAACTGTGATGCGATTATCCAAAATGAATCAGAATGTGTTCCCCTCTACACCATGCCTAACAACCAATTGAGCAGCGGTGAGGAGATCAACTTGATCTATCACAGCAGTGAGACCAGTGAAATAAGAAACCTGGACTTCCATTTAAAACATGGTAGATCCTCCAGGACCTCTTCCTTCATCAGTGTTCAGATGGACAGTGATTCCACAGTTGATCTAAGACCACCCTCACCTATTAATCTAAGACGTAGTATAGATGAAGCTCTTTTCAGTGAGGCTCTCATTCCCGAAAGTCTATTCCATTGGTCAAAATTACACAGTTCAAGCAATATGTCCCTTTGTGGCAACAGGTCAATGCCAGCAAGCACCAACGAAGTCTTCAAGGAGAATTCAGCAGACAGAGGCCTGTATCGGACATCATCTTGTGTTGGTGTGGAAAGAACAGAGATTGCCAGAGGTATCACCAACACCTTCAAGAAGCTGAACATGACACCAGCCTTGTCTTCAGAAAGGTGGGAGGATAGCTCTGTCAGCTCCATCTGCAGAACCTCACAAGATGGATCCTCTTTGGTGCTTTGCTCCAGACCTGAGAAGTCGGGCTTCTCAACTACTGACTCTGAGCAAAAATCTTTCAGGGACTCCTCTCCAACAAGCCTTCATGGTATTCCCCAGTTAACAAAGCAATTTCAGGCTTTGTCTTCTCCAGAAACCATGGATAGAAATGATCCCCCAGATTCAGCAACACAAGTGGAGTTCATGAAGATCTGCAGGCAAATTGACCAGCTGAGTATTAGCAGTGACACAATAGAATTATGAAACTCAATGCTGTTGCCCAACCAGAACCATTTCTACTCTGCATCTTCCTTAATACTTGGAAATGCTTACTGGGAAGTGTATTGTCAAAACAGAAACAAAGTGCAATGCTTGTGTTCAAAGGCCAAAGATTGCTGGACTCAGGACACATACAGGCTGGAACTGGTCTTGGACAGTGGCATAAAATGTGAGACAGTGAATTGGAATCATGTTTTATGTTCAACTAACTTAAACAGAAAGGAAAATTGGGCAAGTGTAAAACATGCTGCTAATTTGCTGACACCTGTTTTGCCCCAACATGCGAGACCAGTTCTGGCCTCCTAGAACTTCTGCACAGGGAAACTCTTGTGACACGGTGGTAGTGTCCCTATCTCTGAGCCAAGATCTCTACCAGCTTCAAAGGTGGATTGCAACATGTTGACTTTAAAAAAAATGGAAATTCTACAAATGTGTATATATGGTGCAGTATTACTGACAAGGCTGGGTCAAGTGCTTACTGGTATACAGAGAATTTGCAATCTTGTAGATAAGCCAAATGGGTATTTTTGAGGTAAAACTGTCATCAATTTTTCTCTTTTGGAGATAGTTATTAATACTAGGAAGTAATTTTTACCATTGAGCTGAGATAAGACATTAAATACTGGCTGTATCTGTGGTACTTTGCCCTAGTGTGTACCATAATTTCACTGGAAGCTGGAAACCCTGGAGAAGTGGCAGGAACAACTCCTGTGGATCTTCCTTGCAGGTTATTTAACCCCTTAGTTTAAATTCAATCCCTGCTGGTTTAGTTCTGCATATATTGGCCTGTTGTCCTTCTGAAATATACAGGAAAGTCTCTGGCTCCATTTTTGTTCTCTGCTCAGTTAGCTGCTGTCAGGTGAAGTTAAACTAATTGGCCTCAATTTGGAACAGAGCAAATCAACCAGACAATGAGCCTTCAACTGAACTTGTGTTTGTGAGTGGATCTCAGGTGAGAGATAGACTGGGCTCCACTGTGAAGTACCTGTTTCCTTTTATTGAATGTCTAGCCCACACTCACCACGTGAGGTCAAACATAAATGTCCCATTTGTAAAACTATACCCAGGACCTTTCCAGACAGAACAAACAGACCAGAATATGTGGCCATTTGACTCAGCACTTGTTACAATAATAAACATTGCGGTTTATATTCACAGTGCCAGAATCCTAAGCCCTTTTTGTTTTTCTGTAGCAGATGCGTGATTGAAAGGAGAAGCAATAGCACTGGAGATTGAGCTTTTAACCAGTGATCTCCAAAATGATCCCACTTAAAAACTTTTAACCAGTGATCTCCAAAATGAACCCTGGGATCATGAGCCTGGGCTAAGTTTTGAAACAGGGAGAATAAGAACATAAAGAAGGTACCTACCTAAGCAAGTGAGGTATTACACAGTCCACTTAGATCAGTACTAATTCTACCGAGGGTGTTCTTACTGGCACTGTCAAGGGTATGGCTTGTCAGGGTAGTTGCTGGAAAGCTGTTTTCCTCTGACTGGAGGATCTAGAATTACAGGTCACTGTCATAGAATAAACACTTAAAGGGAAGTATGGTCTACTCCAGTTCCAATTCTAATGTTCTTAAGAAGGGGAACTTTAAAACAAGATATCTATGGTTTCTGATCAGAAATATCAAAGGCAATGCGGTCACATTTCTGATCAATGGTATTGGCCCTCATCTGTAATGCAGATTTTTAGAATAACATACATGTGTCTCATCGAGTGCACTTAATCAAATCAAATATTGAGTCAGATTTGTTCCTGCGTCTGATTCAATCAAGTTTCAAGTCTAATTGATACAATGAGTTATCGAACCCAGTAACCAACTCAGTAAGGTTTTTTGAGATTGCATCTGGTCCCAGAAGGGTACTGAGTAGTTAGAAAAGCATATGGGATCTTGGGCTTCATAAATAGAGATACTGAGTACAAAAGCAGGGAAGTTATGTTGAACATTAATGAAGCTTTCTGGCCAACTCATTTTAGTGAAGGTCCTTCAGTGGATGCAGAAGAGATTTACCTGATTGGTTTCAGGGTGGCGGGATTTTAGCTACAAGGGAAGGAGAAGCTGCAGTTTTTCTCCTTGGAGCATAGGAGGTTAACAGGACATGTGATGAGGTAATAACAATTATGGCAGGTTTAGATAAGGTAGACAAAGACACACAATCCCATTAGTTGATGGGACAAGGAATAGGAGACACAGATATAAGGTTCCAATCAAGAAACAGAGGGTCATATAAGAACCTTTTAAAGCAGCAAGTGGAAAGGACCTGGAACTCATTGCCTATGAACGTGGTGAAAGTGGAAATGAAGAAGATTGCAAAAGGAAACGGATTGGCACTTGAGGGAAGTAAACTTGCAGGCTACAAGGCTGAAGCAGGGAATGGAACTTATTGGATTATTCTACAGAAAGCCAGCGTGGATGATGGCCTCCTCCTGTGTTGTAATAGACTCTATAACTATGTACGATTGAATCATAATGCAACAAGACATTGAATACTCTGCCAACAATGCACTGGATTGTGCACTTCAACCAGTTTGCTTTTTCAAGAATGGTCTGGACTCTGAATCTCCCTATAATGTACGATACTAACAGGACAGCTGACAAGTTGGTGCTTTCTTGACTATTTTCTGTGGCAACCTGGCCAAAGATTAAATGGAAACATAAGAGAAAGAGTAGAGATAAATTGCTTCCAAAATTGCCAGCTGCTTATAAGTGGAACTCCACTGCTCGGGTGTCACAAAGACTGGATTCCAGAGTATGGAAGTTCCAGCATTTTACTCCCAGATTAATGATGTATTGTTAATGACAGCAGGACTCGTTAACTTTGGTTAATGGCTTTTTTTACCTTCAATAAACTGAAAGGCTAATAAATTCAATGTCATCACAGTATAAAATTGAGGGTAAATCTACAATCCCCTTTACCCAAAGCAGCCACCATTTTTCAATCCCAGTTCCCAATGAGTGCAGTCCCCTCATAGGAGTAAGGAGTTGAAGGTTACTCCTCTGGTTGCTTACCACCATCTGATGTCTAATACTTGATTGGTTAGTTTGGATACAGGATAAAGTACTTACCAGAGAATATGTTAATCATTTGGGTTCAGGATTGAACATCTCACTTGATCAGACATGGTACCCAATGCCTCATTGGGCCCAGAAATAATTAAGCACCCCCAACTGACACCCCTTCAAAAGAGCTGGCCCAGAACTAAAATATGCTGACAGCTCAGAGTACAATGTAGGTTAGATAAACCAGCCTGAAATAAAGACTTTGGCCGTGGCCATTGCTTCAAGTTGACTGAACAAGTTAAATTCCTTTTTTATTCAAGGATTTTGATTTTTTTTGTGAATTACACTTCTTTAATTTCATTGTACTTTGTGTGAGCCTCCTTTGTCATTCACCTTCCCATCTTAGACCATCCCTTACTTAGCCCACCAACAGTCAGTATGAGCTAAACCCCATCCCTCAGTAGATATGAATTACCATGGACTTAAAGATGGTGCATCAATTTTGAAAGGATGACATTTGAAGAGCAACTGCAGTCACTGCTTCCCTAGCACCTCTGCCACAATGTCTCTGCTGTAAGCAGACATTAAGGGATTGATGACATTGTGCTTCTGCTCAGTCAGACGAATCGATGAGCAGGAAGAGGACTGCATCCAGCGCAGTGGCAAGGGTTCACAAAACTGATTACTCATACAGCCTATGAGCTGTTGCCTACTGAGTATGGTCTTTGCAGCCCAAAGTTCGCAATAGTATAGCTGTATGTCTCTAATCCAGTTCAGCTGCTGTGCAATAAACTAAGGGGAGATAATAGTGGGTATCATGGTTTCAAATATACTGTAACATTCTGGCTCTAATGAAAATGCGGATAAAAGATAAACACCTCACACTGGCCCTACTTGCTAACTGTACCTCAATATCAGATTATTCTCATGGCTTAGTAACTGTAACTTGTGCTTTAAGATCCATTTCCTTTTCCTGCCTCATTACATATTGAACTGTGGCCCTCCAATAGCAGGGGCCAGGGAACGTAGCTGAATGTTTGCCTGTTAGCCCTACCATGTTCTGTGAACAACTGACTGCAATTTAACACAAAAAAAATGGTAACAAGACAGATGAAAATAAACGTACTTATCAATGTGAATTGCTGCATTAATTGTTGTGTATATTTTTTATAATTCAGTTGTGACAACAATCCCAAACAGTTGCAGGAGTGTTACAGCTATGTTACCACCAGTGCGATATTGAAACAGTAATGGGTATAATTGTTGTCTCCTGTCCTGAACGTTGAGTTTAGTATGCCTTGGGACCAATGCAATCTAATTTTCTCTCTCTTTTCCCTTTCTATGGTGGTGAACCAGAAACTAGATCATTCAATAATTGTCTCCTGATCTTATCTTTCCTCTCCACTGTCCTACTTTATAGTGATAACTTCAAATATATTTAATTAGCTGTGAAGCATTCTGGGATATTCTAAGATAACATAAAGTGCTATATGAAATGCAAATTCAACATGATCATGGCTAATCATCCAATTTAGTACCCTGTTCCTGCTTTCTGCCTATACCCTTGATGCATTTAGCCTTTTATTTAACTCCTTGAAAATAACATTACTGAACTTTTACAATAATTGATGGTCACCATTACTAGCATTTTTACTTCCAGATTTATTCATTGAATTTAAATTCCACCAGCTTCCATGTCCCCATGGTGTTAGATGGAGCCTCCAGATTACAAGTTCAGTGACAGTAGCACTATGCGACTATCTACAACAAAATGCTTACCCTGATCCTTATCCTATTCATTCACCCTCCCATCTTAGACCATCCCTTACTTAGCCCACATGAGATGTTAAACCAGTTCTGATCTGTGTGTCCATTAACACAGCACAGAGAGCACAAAAAAGATGGGGGAGCTTTGTTTTATTACCTAAACCATTAACCCTTAAAGGCTCTGAGCAGTGAAAAGTAAGAAGTAGTCTGGTG